TCTCAGTTCATTAATAGCTTCTGAGGAATATGCAGTTAAATAGTGGTGACATGTTTCAGAGGCATCATTATCCTCATAGAATAAAACCTCAATAAAACCTCCCTTTTTAGTGAAGACTTGTCTATTCACAAGTGTATTTCTGCCCTACACTTAATGCGGAGAACTTACTTTCTATCTCCTCCTTGTTTCAGCTGGATGCAAGCTGGCAAGGGAAACATTGAGGGTAGAAAGTAGAAGTTAAGAGCTAAATCAGAATTTTATTTTTGTGTAATTACACTGAGAGCAGAGGAATCTGGAAAAAATTTGCTTTAATTTCTCCTCTGCATTTTGCACCCCAGGGGCCAGGCTTCTACAGCGAGGCAAAAAGCCAGCAGCAGGCACTGGAATCCCCAGTGGAGATAGGCTTGCTTCATTAGCTCCTTCCAAGAACTGAAGGTGCTGAGCAGATGTTAGGCCATCCTAACACACATCTATGGGGCTGGCTCAGGAAAGCTACGGCTTCTTGTACCCGTACTTGCCACTGACAGCATCACTGCTAGAGGACAACAGCTTCATTTCACCAAGAGACCTCATTTTGTGGGGGCTCTTGAGGGTCTGCTGCCTCTTGCGGTATCTGCTAGTCACAGAATTTCAGAATCTTAGAATTTTAGAATCTTAGAAATATTGAATTATAGAATTGTTTAGGTTTGGACGGGACCTTAAAGATCACCCAGTTCCAATTGCTCTGCTGTGGGCAAGGTTGCCAGTCCTGTTGGATGATAAGGCCATATAGAGACCGCCTGCTCCATGACAGCTCCCCACTGCTTCAGAACAAAACCAAACAAATGAGGAAAAACCTAATAGGCTGCACATATTAATAAATGATGGCTTACCTATTCATAAGCCTGATGTCTTGGGAAGATTTAAAACAAAGCCCTGAGCTCCAGCTTTTTAATTTTCAAACAATGCTGTCTCCTACTGTGCATGCTTCAACTCCACATCTTGGTACCAATTGGCAAAGCTGAAAAAATGGGAAGAGCTGACATGGGAAGGGGTGACACAAGAGTTGGTGACAGCAAGAGCCTGCTGGCTGGTGAGGCTGGGCCCGTGTTGAGGCTGCAGATGGAGGAGCTTCTTTTGGAAATGCTGGGTGGTGTCACTGCCAAAAATTTTGAAGGCTGTCTCATATGAGATGAGTCCAGGAAGGGAGTACAGTCAATGGGCACAGGAATCAAAAGTGTGGACGAGTTTCTCATTCCTGGCCTATTTTAATTCAGATCTGAAGCCAGAGTCTGGTAAGGAATATAAAAAATAGATTAATGAAACCTCAGAATTTCAGCTTAGATTAAAATAATATTGCTCAAACATACTCTGGGGAAGAAGGCTTGACAATAGTGAGGATGCCAGCATAGCGTAAGTGTAGCACAATGCAAAATGCTGGCATGTGGTAATTTTAAGAGCCAGAAGTATCTTCTCTTAATCTATCTGAAATGCAAATGCAAAGCCTGCTTTCCCTCTCTGCTCTGTTTTCCTGACAGCCGCTGCGAGGATCCAACCACCAACTTGTCACCACAAAACTATGTCGGTACGTTGGCAGTGCTGAGGCGTTGGTCTCAACCTTCGTGTGCATGTGTGTGAGTTTGCCTTCCACACACAGTCTGCAGGCCAATGTCTGGTTTCTCAGACTGACTCAGTCCTGTTGATAGCCAGCAGGAAGGGAGCCAAGGTTTTGCTCTGAGAACAGGGTGCCTGGCATTCTGCAGCAGGGTTCTGATACTGTGCAGGTCAGTGACAAGCTTTGGTTGTCAGAAAACACACAGGGGTGGTTTAAACAGAACCTTTCCTAACCCTGAGCTTTCCTAAGCTCAGTTCTGTGGAACAGACAAGAACCCCATTTTCACTGTTTAGGTGATCTGTCTCATCAGAACTTCAGGCTAATGCTTAGCTCAGAGTGCCTTCAGGATTCCCTGCAATGAGTGGGGACTACAGATTGTTTGCTGCACTCTTTTCTAGAGAAATAAATATAGCAATCTATTTTATGGAAATGGGATGCAATTCACGCATTATTGAGCTGTAGTGGGTTTTGCTCTTTTAAAAGTCATGGTGAAAACAACAGCCGTCTTACTGACATTTGAAAAATAACAGGGATATTTTCCCTTATCCTTTTGTAGCTACTGAACGCAGTAAACTAGAATACTTCCTCTTGCTTGCAAGGTCTTCTAGCAGCTTCTTGCTCCTCCCTACACCCCCTCTTCTCTCTAGTTTTCCTAATATCTTAGTACATTCTTCACCGGTATAGGAAAATATTCTGGAAACAAAAATCATGATGAATAGGGTGGGGGAGGAAGTAAATAATTGAATTACGTTATGTTTCATTTTAAGCTGCTTTATTTAACAAAACTCCGCAGGCTATGTCATGGCCAACTAAGGCACCTCACAGAATTCATCCCACCAGGGTGCTCTCTGTTAACCTTCTGGCGTGAACTTTCAGAAACAAGATCAGCACACATCTGCAATAACATAATATTCTTGGTACCAACAGTGTTGTACAGAATCACAGAATGGCCAGGGTTGGAAGGCAACTCAAGGACCATGAATCTCCAACCCCCCTGCCACATGCAGGGCCACCAACCTCCTCATTTAATACTAGAACAGGCTGCCCAGGGCCCCATCCAACCTGGCCTCAAACAACTCCAGGGACAGGGCATCACGTCTCACTCTGATAAATCTTCCCCAGTTCCAGTTTTGGAGAACAGCTCCACACCCATTCCTTCATAGCAGCAATGTGCTTGGTGCTCACACAGCCATCCAGCAGATGCTCCATTAGTCGCTCTGCACCAGATGAGGTGGGGTGCAAACCTCTTTGGTGTGCACCCATCACCTGCAACAAGCACTACAGCTAATGGGGTGGTAGGATGATCATGGAGTGAGCGCCATGCACTTAAATAAGAGCTCACAAAATGTGTTTAAACCTCTGTTTGAATCACAGAATCACAAAATTGTAGAGGTTGGAAGGGAACTCTAGAGATCATAGAGCCCAACCCCCAATACTTTGCAGAGTTGCTGTTGGGAAGGAAAGAGCATCAAATGTGACTGCATTTCAGGGTGGATGTGGCCTGGTCCCAACTCCAGCCACAACCTGCACAAGTCATGCCCTGACCTTTGCTGGGTACAGCCTGTAGCTAAATTCCTCCCTGGGGCAAGGCTTGACAGCAAAACCTGAGAAGGGTATTGAAGGGATTTAATTGCATAACTCGCAAGCCTCAGAAGGAGTTGCCCATGTAAGTTCTCAGTGCACTGTGGGAGTATAGGTGTCTCAACATGTGTGATAGGGTATTTCAAAACCAACTGCAGTAATATAAGCAGTAAAGCGCAGACCTTTGTGAAAAACAGCAACAACAACAGAAAAGGAAGTTCTGCATAAAAACAAAAGGCCAAAAGTGAACAAATAAGCTATATGTCAGATGCCATTCAACAGATTATTTAAGCCAAGCTGGAAGATTGAAAGAGCATCCTGGTGTTATTGCATTTCCCATAGCTGTGAGCCCACCCTGACAACTATTTATGAACACCACTCACTTGAGATACTGCAGTAAAACTTTGCTTTTGGCCACAGAGATTACCAGGGTTTTGCAATATTCTGTGAGTCTTTGGTACAACAAAGGACCTCTTTCACAGAGGCAGAGCTAAGCAAGAAGTCACTTTGATACGCCATCACGAGGGAAGGAGCCTGGTACCAGAGAGGCAATGGGACCAGGACATGGTGATGCCTGAAGTCACATTCTGCAAATGGAATGGAGCTGAAGGAAGAAAGCAGCCATCGGAGAGGTAAAACATCAGTCTGGAAGGCACACCAAAGGGCAGGCACATGAGAAACAGAGGTCATGCAAGGAGTCTCAGTGTCTGCAGACTGTGCCAGTGCTGTGGGAGCAATGTGTGTACTACCCCAGGCAGTGCATGTAATTGGCAAATTCAGTTTTGTTCTCTTGGGCATGGAGCCAACTGCTGTTCTGAAGTTGTGGAAAGCAGGGAGTAAGTGGGAAAGTGGGGTTTCCATGCTGCTTATAGACCTAGTTTTGCTGACAATAAGGGAAGTTCATGTTGGGTATTAGGGAAAATTTTGTCTCAGAAAGAGTGGTCAGACACTGGAACAGGCTGCCCAGGGAAATGTTGGAGTCATTGTCCCTGGAGGTGTACAAGAAACAAATAGATGTGATGCTGAAGGACATGGTTAATGAGCACAGTGGGGATGCATTGAGGTTTGCACCAGATGATTTTAGTGGCCTTTTTCAACTGCAATGATTCTATGGTCCTATGATTCTATGATTCAGTGAAACAAGGTGACCTCCAGATTGTCTCTCCCATGACAATGGAGATTGCCTGTCCATCAGCAGGTGGTTGTGAAGCCACTGTTTCTGCTGCACAGCACACTTCTCCAACAGGGCAGTCCTGTGCCTGCTGTGCTATGGCACCCAGTGGGATGGGGCTGGGAGGGAGTGGCTCTTCAGCCTAAGTGAGAGAGGAGTGAAGGAGTTGCCAATTGAAGAATGTAAAACCAATGCTGTAGCTAAAAACAAAGATGATGCTGCAAAAATCACTGTGCTGGTCTCCTTCTTTCCCCTCCTGCCTCCTTCCCTACCTATTACACAGCCTGGATTTCCAGCAAGGCGGCTTTTACTTGCAGCTCCGTCACTTGGCAGAGATGGATTCTCACACGTGCCATGCACAGCCACCTTCCTTTCCCCTGACATGTGCTCTTCACTCCTTGCAGCTCTGTGCCCTGTTACTACTGACAGCCATGCTTACTCCCTCTCCACTGCCCCTCGGCGCTCCCTCCCCAGCCCCACCAGGCTGCATCCCCGCAGACCCACTGCCTGCCTGTGCGGGAGGTGCAGCAGCACTGCTCCCCTGCTGCAGTCCTGCGGGTCTGTGCGCACCGCAGATGTCAAGCTCCTGCCGCGACCCAGCGCTCCATAGGAGGAGCAAATGAGCTGAGACGTCAAGGCAAAAAATTATAGCCATGCGAGCTCTCCCTGTGCTCAGCTGCTGCGAGAGTGCATACATGGCTTGTGTGACAGCAACAGCGCACAGAAGCTGCAGTGAAATGCAGTTAGTAATACAGCTGGGAGACAGACAGCGAGGCAGGCACTGGTCCAGCAACTGAAATGATCCTACCGTGAGCCAGCCCGCAGCGCTTTCAAAAGTGGCTGACTACTGCACAGGAGCTCGTCCTTCTTTGCAATTACTCCAGTTCCCCCGGGTGACTGCAGTGTGTGCTTCGCTTCACTCTTGTTGCTTTTTGTTTGGTTGTGTTGGCACGGGTTTTTTTTCCTGCTGCCTCCTTCTCTCCTCCCGTGTCCTTTTCTCCAGGATGGCGGAAGCAGAGTTGCACAGGGAGAGGCTCCAAGCCATAGCAGTAAGTCGGCTTTGCATTACTTGCTCTTTTGTCTGCTGCCGAGGGAGCCGCAGGAAGGGGGCAATGGGCAGCAGGGTCGCCGCCAAGTTGTGCACTGAGTTCTTCATCGGGGAGCGGTGGTTACTGCCTCCCTGCAGGGTTTGGCTGGGGAAGGGGCTCCGGTGAAGCTCTCTGAGCTGACACGTGCGGGAGAGAAACGCGAGCGCACAGCGGCATGCTTGGAAGATTGATGATGGAGAAGAAAAGAGGGAAGAAGTGGGGAGGAGGGGAGATTGCGGGAGAAAATCCGTGCTCTGCTGAAAAGGGTGTATTCACACAGCTGGAGCTGAGCTGAGCTGATTAAGAAGTTAAACATAATGGATCTACTGCAGGGCGGTTTCTGCTGCAGGAAGCGGTTCTGGTGTTACTAATTTTTAATACCATCAAGTACAAGCGTTGCGTTATCAGAATCGTGTAATTACGTGTTGGATAAGCTGTCGTCCCAGTTCCATAGCTGAATGCATGCTTTTGGGCAAATCGTCTGCAGTTTCGACCTGCCAGGGGAGAGGTCTGAGCAGCGTTTTGCCCCATTTTAGCCAAAACTTTCATTTCCATATCTCACGCCGTCACTCGTAATGAGGAACCGCTGCAGGCTGTGGGCAAGGATGCCCCTGGGGGCCGGGCCCGGCTGCGGGTAACCATATCCCTCGGCATGCAGGCACTGCCAGCTCATCGCCCGGCTCACCGTGGGGCAGCCCCACGTAGCCCACATCACCCGGTCCCGTGGTTCCCGGTTGGCACGGGAGGGCTGCGGCATGCGGCACATCCCGCGTGAGCTGTGGCCATCCATCTCTTGCCACCTCTCCTGCGATCAACAGATGCTACGTGCTGCAGCCGGTAGAGAGCACGGGTGTCCTTTGTAGCTGGAGGCATGGCTGCTGCTGCCGCTACTGCGGTGCTGCTCCGCGCTGTTTGCTTTGCGTCCTCTGCTCTGCTAATGAGCCCATGGAGATGTAAAATAACCAGTTATAAATCAGACAGTTGCGTTTTCTTCTTACCTCTCTGAAATATTCGCTGGAAAAATACCAAATGCTTATCGTGTGCTCCGGGGAAGGGGGATGTGAGGGGGGAATACTGTAAGTGTTTAATATTCAAGCAGCAGGAAGTAGGTAAATTTTTTAGGCTGTTTCAAAGTTCTGTGGCACTGCCAGTTCCCCAGATGAAAGTACTGGGATTGCTCCAGAGCTAACCCTTGTCACTGCCCCAGGTTCTGGGCTCCTGCAGCAATAAATAAGGGAGAGCTGTGCTGCAGAGCAGCTCAGCATATTGCTGCTGTGCATGTTTCTGGAAAACTTCCATCTCCAAATTGAAAAAATAAATAAAAAAAAGGTTTACATTACTGCTGCTTTTCCTGCCTGCATAGCAGTCAGCACCCACTGCCACACCACAAGACATCCCTAGGTGTTGCAGCAGAGTAAGTCAGATGCTCTTCTTCTTGGTGCTTTGCATTTCACACCACTGAGGCCATTGTGGAGATATAATTATTGTCTGGTGTGTTATAGCTTCTTGGAGTAGGCTTACGCTGCTAGGAAAGGACCCTGAGAACCTGGATCTTCATTTTTTCTGTAAATTTCCTCTATGGTTTCTATTTCTATAGCACCTGCTAGGCTGATTGCAAGTAAAATGTGGTATATGTGGTGATATGTGCAATGAATTAAATTGAAAGAATTCAACTTCAGCATCAAAAACATTCTTTCTTATTTCAATCTGAGCATGGGTCTATTAGGTGGCTTATGGCCTACACATCACAGAGCAGCAGGTTTTCCATGCAAGATAATGAGGTGACTTTTCTCCTGCACTTGGGTGGTCACAGGTGTTATTCAAAACACAGATAAGGTTATTTCCAGAGTAAGCTTTGCTCCATCCAGATGAGCCATGTGACATGAGTTTGGTATTTCTTTTCTGCCACTTGGTTGGCAAAAATAAGGTCAGTCATCATAAGCTGCATGTCTTTTCTCTAGAACAAGAGAAAGCTGGCACTGGTGTTCCCTCTAGAGTTATCAGTGGAAAAACAATCTACGCAAGCTGCAGTATTTCATTCAGGTGAGCAAATGCTTGCATCAGTGCTCTGCAATGAATGCTGAACATACAGAGAGAAAAGCTCCTACCACAGTGCTTGGACTGCTGAACACTGCTGCCTGTAGACATTTGCTTGACTTCACAGTTGCCATGGCAGATGGGTTTGTCAGGAAGAGAAGAATAAATTTTAAGTGCCCACCACTGAATACTTAAAGAAAGCAAAATCTAGATATGGAAATGTGAATATTTAGACCAGAAGGCTGACAACTTCCAAAGAGTTGGTTTTGCTCTTTCTTACCCTAACTGCTAACAGTTATAATGTATGCCATTCTGGCACACAGACAGGTGCCATGGGAAGTGGAAAAGAGGGATCTGTCAGGATATTAATCTGAACACTGGTGAACACAGGCCAGCCACTTATTTTGCCAGCAGTGAGTGCTTAACCTCTCTGTGCATTCAGTTTTGGTCTGTAAACCATGAGCTTTGCCAGTGTCTTGGAGAGCTGTTCGAGGTACACGCAGGACTGTGGAGAGCTTGGATGCTATGGTTAATTTATCAGGGGAGGAAACAGCTAAATAAGCCTTTAAAAATAGAAAATGTGGTTTTGGAAAAGAAAAAGAGAGAAAGAGAGGGAATCTTTAAAGAGATATGTTGCTAAAGCCACTGCAAATGTTTAAGCTCTGATTTTCAGACCCTGCTAGTTTTGATTGCAGTCCAGTATGGAAAGTGGAGAGATGCAAAACAGCCACTGGAAATTGGAACTCAGGTCTCTGTTTAGGAAAAACGCAGAAGTACTGTGTTCTGGGAAGGACCTCGATGGCCAGGAGTGGTTGGCTTTCTGATCCCTCTTTCATCAGAGGCCACTTCAAATCTCCCACCTGGGCACCACGTAGTGGCAAATCCTTCTGTCATGCCCCAGCATCCTTACCACTTGTTTTTGAGCCTATCTTCAACCTCAGCATCAGTTGAGTGCCTGCAGGAGGCAAGCAATAGGTTCCAACAAGAAGCTGAAAGCCTTCTTGTCAGTTAGCTTCTGCAGCACACTTCAGTGTGCTCTTCTGCTGAAGACAGGGCGGTGGGTTAAATTTTGAGTGGAAAAGGTGACATTTTTTTCACTTAAAAAAATATGTCTGCATTAAGTAGCTCAAAAGTTTGGCGTGTGAGTGGTGCTGGAGGAAGTCTGCTCAATGGCCAGTCGATTCAGGGGACAGGTGAGCCAAGTGATTGTTATAATTCAGACAAGTAAAATGCATGGCTCTGCAGTTTATACTACAGCCCCATTCTCTCTGACTGCAGATATCACTATCAGACAGTGACCTAATTATAGGCAAGCATTTACACAATGTAAATATTTTCCATAGCTTACATAGCACTCATAAACCTGGGAAGTTGAAGGCACTGAATGTGTGTATCAGTGCATTCAATGTACAAATGTCTGTATGATGCAGCATGTGTATGAATTAAAGGTAATCACTGGAGGCTAAACACCAAGGAGAAAGCCTTCACTAGAGCAACTATCAGCACAGGAGCTAGAGGTGGCATTGAGGTTAGGACTCCACACAGACTCCAGACACAAGGAGGAAATTGCTAAAATGTACTGATTTCTTAGCAAGTAAACCCACTAGTAATAGTGCTCTGCCTTTACCAATGCCCAACTCTACCAGCAAGTGAAATATTAAAGAAAAGTTGTTGCTGACATCCAGGTAGCTGTGTCAAAGATAACTCTTGTCAGTAAAGACTGTTCTTCTCCATCTGTGCAATTACAAGTTTGTTGAACTGGACATAATGTGCTGAAATGTCATCAGATGTTTGATTTAGTACTGCAGTACTCTGTTGTTTAAAAATAGCACTCTCTGAACATGTGGGGTACACCTTAGATGGATTAAGAGCTGGCTAGCTGACAGGTCTTCCAAGGTTGTTGCTAATGAGGGAGACGACTGACGAGGAGTCTTGCTCCTTAGACTAAAGGCAGAAAGCTGACTATTTCTATCTGAATGGATGTTGTGGTGAGATGGGGCTTGGCCTCTTCCCCTGGGTAACAGTGATGGGAAGAGAAGAAATGGGCAGAGGCTGCACCAGCAGAGGTTCAGGTTGAGTTTAAGGAAGATCTCCTTCTTCAAAGCAGTGGTCAGACACTGGAATGTTCTGCCCAGGGAAGTGGTGGGTCACCATCCCTGAAGTTGTTCAAGAAAAGTGTAGATGTGGTACTGAGGGACATGGTTAGTGGACGTGGTAGGAATGGGTTAACATTTGAACCAGATGATCTTTGAAGTCTTTTCCAACATTGATGACTCTGTGATTCCATGATTCGTGAACCCAATTTTCCAGGCTTCAACATGTTCTCTATCCATAGTCTGACATAAAAACAAAATCAAGATTATCATGTGATGATAGCACACAGAATGTGAAGGAGCAAGTAATGGTGAAAAGTTGCCCTTCAGAACAAGTTGGATTATTTGGAAAATGGAATCCTCTTCAAATGAATTCCTTCACACCTGTGCACAGCTGGCGTAAAGGCGGAATGATGCAGGACTGCATCAAGTGCAGGAGAGCGTGGAAAAGGGAGTGGGAGGTACTGTGGGAGATCATTCAGAGGGAATGAAAACAGAATCGTTGTTCAGCCACCAAGATTAGCTTCACACCATTGAAACCAACCCTGGGGCAGACTTAGATGCCTTCCAAAAAGGCTGGTACCTATACCTACAAAATTGCAACAGTTTTTCAACAGCTCTTTGGGAATAGCAATAGAAATTATTTTCTGGAAAGGTATTATCAGTATAGTTATGGTATCACCTCCACTGGTAACCCAAACGACCTATTTTCCTGGGCTGGAACCTCAGCAACTGCAGTACCATAGAATCATATAATTGCATAGAATGATATCATTTGATATCAATAAATCTGAGCACTCTTATTGACAGAATAACAAATATCCTGTCTTC